AAGTTCATTCATGTTGCTGAATTTGTTCATCAGCTTGTGTATATTTGAATTCTTTCAGGTTGGAGGATATTATTATAAATAAATAATGTTTACATGACATTTGCATTCAAAAAAATAAAATAAATGTCATTTACAAAATAATATTCTTAATATCTTCCAGTTGAAATTAATTCTTAAGAGCTAAAGCTATGAGTCATTAACCTTAGTAATCTCTACAATGTCCTGCCTATTAACAATCTATSAGCAGTATGTGTTCAATGAGCAATGGATAAGGAAAGAGAGGAGGGGAAGAAAAAGTACAAGAAACAATTTAGAGGAAGTGGCCTAATTCTTGAAATATGCAAACTATCAAAGGTCACTTAAGAAGAAGTAGATAATGATAATGTACATTTATTAGAGGAATAGTTAAAAACTCTTTTTAAAAARAAACAACAACTCTGGGAGTAGGAATGTAATGCAGTAGTAGAGTGCTTACACAGCATATGCAAAGTCTTGGGTTGATGTCCAACACTGCAAATAAATAAATAAAATGAGAATAGAAAACACTTAAGCCTAAAAGTTTCACTTTTGCCCCTTTTATCAACATGTAATATCCTTCAATAAATATTATCAAATTGAGTCCAATAATACATAAGAATGATAATACAGCATGACTAAGCAGGGTTTCTCCTAGAACTACAAGTCCAGTTTATCCTTTGAAAAATAAATCCATTTACTTGCTACACCAACAGATTAAAAATATAGTCATCAGATCATCAAATTAGATCCACTGAAGTACCTTAACAAAGCTCACTGCATCAACAACTTATCTATTCAACTAAAAAGAAACTTCCCTCAGCTTGATAAAGGATACCTGAAAAATTCCTTCAGCTAGTAACACACTTATTTTTGAAACAGATAAGTGTGAATGTTTTTCCCCTGAGATTTAAAACAAAGTAATATTATCTACTCTCACCATTTTTTTAATTTCCTTTTTTTATTAGCTACACATGACATTACAATGATCTTGGTATCTACTCTCACCATTTCTAATCAACATTGTAATTAAAGTTCTAAACAGTAAGATGAGGCAGGAAGCAAAATAGGTACAGAGAGGAAGAGATAGGGAAAGAAAAGGCAAATTGGAAAGAAAGTAATAAAAACCTCTCTACTCATAGATAACATGATTGTTTACAGAGAAAATTACAAAATAAAATCTAGAATAAGTGAGGCTTGAACCAGTGTGTATGTGTGTGCGAAATATGAAATACTTAAGTGTAAGTCTTAACAAAATACGTGGGGGATCTGTGTGCTAAAAACTAAAAACATTTATAAAACAAAAGAAGACCTAAGTAAATGGATAGATATACCATGTTCATGAGTTAGAAGACTCAATGCCATGAAGATCTCAATACTCTTGAAGTTTGTAGAAATTGACAAACTATTTCTAAAATGTATATGCAGTGGCAAAGGAATTGCAATATCCAAGACAGTTTTGAAAAAACAATGTTGGAACTCATACTACCTGATTTTAAAACTTATTATAAAGTTACAGTAATCAAGAGATCATGGARTTAATTTTGAAATAAGCCTGTAGGACACCTATAGGACAGACAAAATATAAGGCTGACTTCTAGTACTAATACTGACCCCAATTAAGTGGAAGGAATAAGTAACTGTAAAGTTATAGACATTAAAGTTTAAACCCAGTACTCCCACTTTAAGACTGATGAAACTGACCTGCTGGATGTTTAAAACCAAAACAATCAAAAAAGGTAAAGGGCTAAAAAAAAAAAAAAAAAGTCAATATTTTGGCTCTTGCCCTCTGAGGTCAGCTAGTTCCTAGGGAGCTTGAGACTTCTCTAAGGGCTGAACCCTACCACTTTGGTGTGTCAACTGATCTACCAATTAGGGGGATTCTGCAGAGAAGAAGGTCATTGGAGAGGGAAATGTCCCTGATGCTTCCAAGGGAAGTCACATGTGGTCAGCAAGACTCCGACCCATCCTGGAAGATGCCACTAAAARAGCTAAGAGGCAAGTTCCCAAAGTGACCCTAAGGAATCTCAGCTGACTTTTAGTAATAGATAGAAGGAACAAGCTCAATTTTTACCAACTTGGTCTTAACTAGCTGGCATAAGAGTTTAACCAAAGCATAGTCCATTACATGGGCATTTAAATGAAAAGATAATGGTTCTTTTAATGTAACTAGAGATGTACATTTGTGTGAGGCCTCCCCAAAATAAGTAAAACTGTGAAGTTATCTTAAAAAAAAAAAAAAGGCTTTTTTTTGTACAGGAGTGCCTGATGCACAATGCACAAGTTTGTTTTGAGTCAGCTTGAGACCTGTCTTTTCTTTTTTTCCTGGTATGATTACTACCAACTGTTACTCAGATTCCCCTCTAGAATTTACAGTTCATCACTTCCTGCCTGGGACTTGATTTTAATCAAGACCTGGAGAAAAGACAGGGTTGATGTCCAACACTGCAAATAAATAAATAAAATGAGAATAGAAAACACTTAAGCCTAAAAGTTTCACTTTTGCCCCTTTTATCATCATGTAATATCCTTCAATAAATATTATCAAATTGAGTCCAATAATACATAAGAATGATAATACAGCATGACTAAGCAGGGTTTCTCCTAGAACTACAAGTCCAGTTTCAACCAAGCTGGAAAGGACCTTACCAAGTGCTCCTGATCACCAAGATTGCTATCTGAATTGCTAAAAAAAAAAAAAAAAAAAAAGGAATTAAGAAGAAGGAAGAACTCATTACCAGGGGTGATTTTCACCTCAAAAAGTTAATATGTCTAGGATGGTTGGCAATACCAGAAGGTGTAATGAAAATGAAACCAAAAGGTGTAAAAAGAAAAAAGGGAGGATTTGTGAGAAGTAAAAAGTCTGGTGGTCCAATTTCAGAATATAGTGTTCAGGCTTAATTGGATCCAATTGTAGCCATTTTAATTACAGTCCTTCCCTTTTGCCCATCCCAATTTTAAAATTAGCCAATCATGTAGACTGTACCCCTGAGTCCTCCAGTCAGGGCAAAGGGTAGTCCACATTAGGTATATAAACCAGCAGATTGCCTGCCCAGGGTGCTTGCTAGCTAGGTTCAGGTAGCACACCCTTCTGGCAGAAGTAAAGGTGTGCCTTGCTTACCCACTTTGACCACATCTTTGATTTCTTGTAGCACCTCATTATTTCTAACAATGAATTCAATGGAATAATAGAAAGTCCAGAAATAATTTACCATACATGTGGTAAAYTGATTTTTGACAAAGTAGAAAAGTCAAAAGACATTTATTTGCAAAAAAAATAAAATAAAATAAAAATAAACCTTCATTCACATTTACAAAATAGCTCACATTTTATAAAAATGAACCCCAAATGGGTCACTGGTCTAAATGCACAGGTTAAAGATATGAAACTTATAGAAAAAAGAGAATATTTTTAGTCTTGTATTAGAGAAAAAATTCTTAAACATGACACCAAAAAACATGATCCATAAAAAGAAAATAATGGATGATTAGGGGCCCCTCAAAATTAACTTCTACTCTGCAAAAGACAAACAAGAATTAAAAGACAAGTCACAGGCTTAGAGAGAACATTTGCAAACCACACAGAACAAACATGACTTCTCAAAAGACAGACTTTCAGTGGTAATAAAAAATGTCATTTTTCCTACCTATTCCTGAGAATGAGTTTTATCTCCATTATAATTTGCCCAGTAATAATTTTCCAAGGTCATCATTAAAATGATATATTTTGAATTATGTATTTAATTTTTTATTTTAAAAATATTTTATAATTTTAGGAGCCTCTATCATTGAAGCTGGGACCTCAGCAAGTTACAAAAATAATAAAGCAAAACTGTACTGGCATGGGATAGGATTCCTAAATTATGAAATGCCTCCAGATATTATTCTTCAGGTAAAAGTGAAATTAAGAAGAACCAAGTTCCATTTGATTTTATGATAATTTATCATGAAAATGTTAACATTTAAAATGGAGGCAGTGTGACATTGTTCAAACTCATTACACACCTGAAATCTTCTTACATTTTAAGTAATTATACTGCATTAATCCCTTCTTGTTTTATAGTCATTAAATTATCATTGATGACCATATGTGATTTAGAGACAAGTGAACTAGATTATTTGATTCTCAAATAGAAAATATAAATTCCATATCTTTTAAAAGTTGATTCTGTGGCCTCTTTTCCATTGAAAATTTCAGTTGTTCAGACAACATTTATCAAAAGTGCTTGTGTTCTCAATTCTAGTGTTTTGATAAATGCTATTCACATCATATGTTCTTAAGTCCATTTACAACTAAAGCAATAACTAAGTAAGATTTCCACTGAAACTTTCAGATACATCCCAAAGGCAGTAGATGTTAACAGACTGTAGGGCATGTCTTAACTATAATCCACATATCTGAAGTTGGTTTCAGATTCAGAAATACCTCCAGGGACAACTCTGAATCTTATTCCAAGTCTTATTTTGGATTTAGACAGTGAAACACACCTCATTTTCCTTTACCATCATCATCCCCTCAACCACCACAATCATTACTGCCACCATTGTCTTTAGCACAACCGTCTCCATCACTACCATTACCACCATCATGTCACTTCCACCCATGCATCACTGACTTCTCATTCACTACCATCACCATGATCTCTACCACATCACTTCTGTTGCTACCATTATTAACCACCATCGCCATCACCACTATTACCACGATCATTTCCACTATTGTGACTGTGGTCATTCCCAAATTTACCACCACCACCATCACCATCACCATCACCATCACCATCACCACCTCCACCACCATCACTTCCACTGCTATTATTATTACCACCATCATCACTACCACCACCACTACTGTCTTCATTAGTGTCATCAGCACTACCACTATTCATCTCCTTCAGCTGCCTTTTCGTATTTCAAGGTCCAACTAGAGCAGTGAAAGAAACATACTCGTATGATAAAGAGCTCTGATTAATAGAAAAATAAAGTACTCTGGAAAAACAATCAAACCTAAGGGGTATCTTAGAAATTTTTCTTTTGATATATATCTTGAACAAAGGATCTGCAGTCAATAGTGATTGGTTCCCCTGTATTCCAGGGTAGATTTACATACCCAAAGAAGAGATTAATTTGATGTTTTMTTTCCAGCCAGATGTCCATCCTGGAAAATGCTGGGCCTTTCCAGGTTCCCAGGGTCATATTCTAATCAAGCTTGCCAGGAAAATCACACCAACGGCTGTTACCATGGAGCACATTTCAGAGAARGTGTCACCCTCAGGAAACATCTCCAGTGCACCCAAGGAATTTTCTGTCTATGTGAGAAACTATCTAAATATGTCATTAAAAGCTGGATTATCATATTAATGATACAACTAATTAGTTGTATTACTTACTTCCTGGGCCTTGGCCTTATTATCCTCAAAGTRACAGGGTTAAACCAGATGATTTCTATTGCTTAGTTTTACTTTTTACTTTTATCAGTTATATGTGTACAAAAAGTTATACATGTCCATAAAGTTTATATTATCTCACTTCTCCTTGTTCCCAATTCTTTCCCACAGTTTTAGCTGTTTTGGAGGGTCCTTGTCTTCATATTTGCTTGTCCATTATTTCTTCATTTTTCAGTTTTGGTTCTTAACTATTAGTTTTGCTGACTCCTCCAGTAGAAAATGAATGATTAACTCTCTTCCGTGGGTTCCCCATCATCCTCCCAGGATCTTTTTGTTAAATTCACATAACATTTAGTTTACTCATTTGAAGTGCACACTTAGGAGCCTTTGGTATATATACAAAATCACGTACCTATCACCACAATCAACTTTAGAACATTTTCATTACCCCCCAAAAAAATCTCCACATGACTTAGCTGTCACCTCTAATTCCCTCATCACAAGCCYAGTCCTGACAACCACTAATSTACTTTGTCTCCATAATTTTACCTATTTTGGACATTTTATATAAACAAAATCATATTAAATGTGGTCTTTAGTGAATAATGTTTTAAGGCTCATCCATGCTGTAATGTGTCAATATTTGATTTCTTTTTAAATTGCTGAATAATATTTCATTGTATAAATAAACCACATTTTGTTTATTCTTCAATTGGTGAACATTTGAATTATTTACAGTTTTTTTTTTTTTTTTGCTATTATGAATGACGCTGTTGTCAACATTTGTGTAAGAATTTGTGTGTGGACATTGTTCTTTGTTTCTTTAGAGTATATACCGAAGATTGAAATTGCTAGATTTCACGTGGTAGATTTATATTTAATGTTTGAGGTACTGCCAAGATGTATATCTTACTTTTTGTTTGAATCAATATTCAGTGGTAATGAATTTCATGGTAACTGTGTGAACAATATTGTTCTCAGTTGAGTTGTATTAGGTACTTGAAKACTATTCTCTTTTTTGCATGATTTTTGATGTGCCTTATTTTTTATTTAATTTGCTTGGTTTGCTATAGTTCTATCAGTAACATTACCAGTCTCTTAAGCAGAAGTATAAATATTCTCCCTTTATTTAATTCATGTCATATAATTTGTTTCCTCTTCCCTTCCCTTCCCTGACCTTCCTCTTTCCTTCCAGGATATTCCTTATGTAGCTCTGCCATTCTGCCGGTGGTTGCTAGGTGGGCCTGATGCTTACCTATTCTTATGGGATTTCATTTCTGCCAACTGAGGCTTTAACTTATATAACCTATTTTTTGTTTTTATTTGTTTCTCTCTTATTTTCCCTCTCTGTTTTTGTTCTACTTCTGAGTGACTATCCATTTGCATCTTAATCCCCATGTTGAATATTTAATTTCTGCTATCACATTGTACTTGTTAAGACATTGGTTGCCATAAATATTCCCTTTCTTAGGCTCTGAGTTTTTCTTTCATGGATGAAATATCTTCTCTTAATGCTTCTGAAGAAATTAATTGATAATAGTTATAGTTTTATTTAATTTTTTCCTGCTCCCTCCTATTTTTATTTCCAGGTATCCTTTGTCCTGCTTGTTTATAGGATCTCTATTCTTTTTGAAAAAGTCCTTCCTCAAATGTCTGTGAGGCTTTTCTATCACATTAAGAGTTTGCTAATAGCCAGGCGTGGTGGTGCGCACTTGTAATCCCAGCAGCTCAGGAGGATCAAGAGGTCAGAGCCAGTTTTAGCAAAAGTGAGGTGCTAAGCAACTCAGTGAGACACTGTCTCTAAATAAAATACAAAATAGGGCTGGGGATGTGTCTCAGTGGTCAAGTGCCTCTGAGTTCAATTCCTGGTAGCCTCCTCTCCAAAAAATTTTCTGATAAAAATTTGGCCACAAGCTCTGTGCTCATGGTGGGGCTTATGAACAGCAAGTTCCATAGGTGGAATGTCTGGTTAGCTATTTCTTCTGGAGCCCCAGAATGTGGAATCGGGCAAGTTGACCCTGAGAGGAGTCCTGCAACAGGAGGTACAGGCTTGGCTGAGAACACACTGGAGCTGCTGGGGAGGAAGGGGAGGTACAATACCAATTCAGGACATAGGACAGGATCAGCCCTTTTATTTTAGCTGTATTAGGGCTGTGCCTGTCAGAGCTGGAGATAGACCAGAGATCCTGCAGAGCCAGGTAAGAGCAGAAACCTACCATGGACTAGGAGTCTAACCTCTTTTTTAAAAAACTATCCCAGGCCTCAGATCTTCGTCTCTCTTCTCAACCCATAGCCCCAATCCCTGGGCTTTTCTGGGACTAGCACTGTAAATCCATGTGCTGCTGATTTCATCTCTAACAAGAGAAGTTTATGTTTCCTTCAGATCCCATTTAGCCATTTCCACACTTTTTTTTTGTCTGAGAGTGTAATCACCCCTCACCCCACCACCCACCATTGGGTTCATGCTTTTTCAATCCTGTGATATTACTTGCTAGAGGTGGCCTCAGTGTTAAACAGCTTGCCTCCTGTGTCCTCTGAAGGCATCTAGCTTCTGGGGCTCTGAGGCTGCTAGGCAGAAGACCATTGTGTTCTTATGCCAGCCTATACCCCAATCGCAGGTGTACCCTAGAAGTTGAGTTAGGGTGAAGTTGAACAGATCCAGTCCTGTCTCAGACCATGCACATAGCTGCTCATTGTGTAGGGGAATTTGAGTGGATTCTGCAGGCAGGAATCTTCAGGTAGTCAAGATTACTTCTTGTCATTTTTATTATATATTAGAGAATTTATTGACCATGTGAAATTTAAAAACAGGTCTTATAAATGTGAATATAAAATTAGCACTCCTCTATTAGCAAGCTAAAGGAACTCTATGAGGCTTAAACCGTATCTACGTATATGTAATGTATATATGTAACTGTGAGTACATTATGCAATCATGATGTCCCTAATTATTTTAATAAAATGGTGCTGTTTTAATATTAATACTTTCACTATAAAATGATTAAACTTCCATAATTTAAGGAGTCTAGTAATAATCTTCAAGTTCTCAAAATAAATTCATTTGCACCAGTTCATTCTCCTCTCACAGATCTTCAATTTGAGGGGTAGAAAAAGAAGGGAAAAGACACAGAGGAATTGCATACAAAGACCAAAATTTCTGTTCAGTAACAAAAGCTGGATATAGAAGGGTCAACAAGGATGTTCTTGTCTAAATTTTATTCAAACTATGTTGACTTCAAATTGTCAGTGTGGATGCTGGGATTCATTTTACATCTATCTGTCTTATCTATCATCCATCTTCTCCCTAGCCATCTCATTATCATCTGTCTTTCATCTATCTCCCTTTCTATCTTTCTGTCATGCTCTGTCATGTATCTACCTATCTTATTTATTTATTTTTTTTAGCACTGGGGCTTGAACCCAAGGTTAGGTAGATGCTAGCAAGCACTCTACCATTGATCCACACTCCAGCCCACCACATCTTCCTATCAGTCATCTACCTATCATCTGTCACTCTACCTATCAGCAATCTTTGATCTGTCTCCTTACACACACACACACACACACACACACACACACACACACACACGTAGCTCTCATCTACTTTCATCGATCTCTTTCTATTTATATATCAGCCTACCTACCTTCCTGTCCAGCTCTGTAATCAGCCTCTGGCCTCATTAACCCTCAAGGTTAAGGTTCTTTGGGTGTATAAGCCAATCCTGACTCTAGCACAGCACTCAGCCCTTCACAGAAAAACACAAAGTGCCTAGTACATTGTTGCTATTTGAACAACTACATCCATTTGTTTTAACCAAGTTTGTAACTTCCAAATCCATTGGTTTCTTTATAGGGCATCGCAAAAAAATGTGAAGGAGAAGAAATTTTCCTAGGTCAATTTATATACAACAAGACAGAAAACACCATTCAAACATTTGAACTCCAGGTAATGTCTGCTCTGGGAAAATAAGATATGTTTGTTTTCATCACTGGGAGAGTTCTGCTGGAATTGCTGCATGGTGTGCAATAATAAGTATGACAAAACATGAGCTAGGCAAGGCTTATCAGAATTTCACTTCTTTGCTCAGGTTTTACATTGATTTTAATGCAAAAGAAGAGAAATTACAAAAGCARTTTCTAAGCAAAACTCTTCCTCATCTGCTGTCTTTATGTTAGGTTTCTTAGTCCTTTCTSTCATTTATTTATTTACTTATTTATTCATTTATTTATTTTGGGGACACTGGGCATCAAACCCAGGGATCCCACATATAGGAGGTAAACACAACCACTGTGCTTCATCCCCAGCCCCTCAATCCTTCTTTTAACTCTTGAACCCTTGAAACTGCTACATTTGATATTCACTATTTTATCTTTCTTGGAGAAAGGGACTGGGATGATGGTGCAGAATGAGGTAGATAGGGGCAGGAGGAACTTAGAGGAAGAGAGGATATTTAATACTAGTGGAAAGGAAGAATGCCAGCTATTAACTTTATAACTCCCCTGAAACTCACTATGGTATATGAAAACTATTTTCATTATTTCTCATTATCCATAGGAAGTAACTGAAGAGATGTAGAAATTCAACTCATACCATGTAAAAATAAACCTTTTATGAAACTTTGTGGCCAATGGTGAGAAAAATCTAAGCCAAAAATAATATATAGTCAGCCCATCATATCCATGGGTTCTGTGTCCATGGGTTCAGTGAACTACAGATCAAAAATATTTGACGTAGGTGCCCTTCAACAAATGAATGGATTAAAAACTGTGATATATATATACATATATATATATGTATGTATGTGTGTGTGTGTGTGTGTGTRTATATATATATATATATATATATATATATATATATATATATATATATATTAGCCTTAAAGAAGAAGAATGAAATCATGGTAAATGGATGGAGCTGGAGAATATCATGCTAAGCAAAATAAGCCAACCCCCCCCCCAAACCAAAATCTGAATGTTTTCTCTATTATGTGGATGATAATTCACAATGGGGATGGCTTGAGAAGAATAGAGTTACTTTAGATTAGGTAGAGGGGAGTGAAGGGGAGGGGAGGGCCTATAGGGGGTAGGAAGGATAGTAAAATGAATCAGACATTATTACCCTATGTACATATATAACTATATGACCAGTGTATTCAATATCATGTACAAGCAGAATGAGAAATGATACTCCATTATATATGATGAATCAAAGGGCATTCTACTGTCATTGTATAACTAAAACAAATTTTAAAAATAAAAAATAAACAAATCCTACCTTAGTTGTAACTAAAGCTTTTTAAAAAATTGAAAAATTAATTGCATTTGAATCGAACATGTAAAGGCTTTTTTTTTCTTATCTCACTGTAACCTAAACAATACAGTATAACAACTATTTACATAGTGTTCACATTAAATTAGATGTTATAAGTACTTTAGAGGTTTTAAAGTACATGGGATGATGTGCATAGGCTATATATTGACCATATATTTTATACAAGGAACTTGAGCCTCCACAGATTTTGGTATTAGCAGGGGGTCCCAGAGCCATTCTCTCTCAGATACCARGTAACGGTCATAAGCATTAGAAATTAAGGTGTTTGTACAGTTTTATATTTGATTGCATAATCACATGCATTTGGGCTCATACACTCACATTCACTTTTATAGTTGACTTCATAGATCTGTTTTCATACAACCAACACTCTGTGTTCCTTGTGAAGCCAGTAGGAGCACTCAAGAGACAGCACAGTAGTGACAGACACTTGACATCAGACCACCTTATTATCTTTCTCCCCCTAATTGTCTTTTCTTTCCTTTCAGAAGCTCTTTCTCTTGTCCATTTGACAGTATCTGAAAATACTTATGTTAGGGAGAAAAGAAAATTTTAATTTTCCATTACGTAAGCATTCATTGAGATTCAATGGGATTTCTTTACAAGGCATTAATTTTTTTTCTTTTCTTTATTTGCAGCATGAAGTTTCTGAACCTTTATTATGTGTGAATCTTAAAATCCTTAGCAACTGGGGACACCCGAAGTATACTTGTTTGTATCGATTCAGGGTTCATGGTGTCCCCACTGATCACACCTAGAGAACTGGCACAGAAGGCCAAGACCACATGTCCAGAATATTTTAGGATTCTCATTCCCTGAGATTAGACTGCACCCCTAGAAGTCAAAAATTGGGAGTGGGAAAGAAACCTCAAAGTAGTTCCTACTTGCCAGTGAAAAGTGAATGAATTTTACTAATAAAAATATAAAAAATTCAACATCCTTGTACTATATTTCTGTTTAGGTTGTATCGTGTTGTTAGAGCACTGAAAGGTGATTTTTATACTTAGACTGTTATATATATTTAACAGCCAGGCTCATAATAGCACCTTCTGTTATTCATTATCTATACCAGGTATGAATGTTCACTGTTACCACTAATATTAACACTGGTTAAGGTAATAAGAGAAAAGACATTTTTAAATTAGTAAAGAGTTCTGGCCATGACTTATTTGCAGATTATGTGATCAATTCCATGAAATACAATGAAGTCTATTAAAAAAAACATAAACAGGGCTGGGGATGTGGCTCAAGCGGTAGCGC